TTCCTCCATTCTCCACTACACACTCTCATTCCTTCAATCTTATCACTTATCATGAACTATGATTAATTTGCATGTGTCACTTTTTTGGCTATGTTTTCCACCATTGAATGCAGGCTTTATGAGGGCAGGAATGACATCTCTGTGTATCCAGTGCTGAACCAGTGTTTGGTACCTAGAAAGTATTTCATGAGATGAGTAAATGTTGGCTTTTTCCATCATTCTTTTCATTTCTGAGTCCAAGAGGAACACAAAGAAGACATGTTACACCTCCAAGGAGGAACGATTCCCATGACATAAATGGTACTTTACTGGGCTACGTTTCAAAGGGGCAAAGATAAGTAAGAAATCATCGCTGGGCAGAAGGATTTTGTGGTTTGGGTAAAAGCAGTAATTACAACTTAAGATTGGTAGAGGCCTAAATGGAAGCCCCTGGAAAGCACTGGCTGAATTGGTTAGCTCCGCTAGAAGGAGCCAGAAGCTTTAGTAACATTTGATCAGTGTCTGGAAGAATGAATGAAGCGTCACTAGGCAGAGAGCGGGGCATCCCAGATCTGGAGACCGGCGGCATACAAAAGCATGGTATTTAGGGAGAAGTACAAAAAGTTTGGTGTGACTTGAGTATAAGTATTGTGGGGTCGAGAGAAGATGGGCAAAGAGCTGAAGAACCCCAGATAGTCTATAAAAACAGCTTGAAGTTTAAACCTAACAGCAATGGGAGACCCTTACATGTGTGAAGCAAGAAAGTGGACCTCAGCAGAGTTAAGTTTTAGTAAGAGCACTCTGCCCTCCCCACATAAGACAAAGTTTCATTTTTCTCTTGATCTGATATGTAAATTATTCTCAGTTACTAAAAAGGTGAGTTTTCTCTTGTTAAAAAAGAAATTTCTCCTTAGTTATAAAATGAATAATCAGATCCTAGAACAATGTTTCATATTTAGTAAGTTCTCAAATAATTGTTGAATTCAAGTCAATGTTCAGTTTTACCTGATTTCTCCACTTCTACCCATACGATCACTTTTAGGAACTGCATGCCATAATCTCCTGAAGTTTTCTTTTAGATGTTATCTTTACAAAGAACCTTTTTTTATTTTCAGTTTCATTAAATGATTGCTCTTTTACAGTTTCTAAAGTGCCCTTATGAATTCTGTAGACCTAAGTTCATGATTTCTTTAATAACCCATCCCTGCAGTGTTCATCATTTGTCTATCATGGGGACCTCACCATGACCGGAGCTGGAGACACAATGGTAAATATAGCAGAAGGGCAAGCATTAGAAGAGCAAGAATTCTAATGAAGCATGAAACACATCACACTATCTTCAGTGCTCAGCCCCTGATTGTGACATAGTTTAATTGAAAGAGGGGGAAACAATGAGACATAATGGGAAACTTTCATTGCTAGAGTAAAAAATAAAAGACAGACATAGTATCAAATTATATTCTCTCATACATATGTACTAGAAAATAACTGAAAAAAGAAAGAGAGGAAGATGGGTATAAATTAAAGCACAGATGAAATGAACATTTATGATGCCTACTGTATATATACATCCATGCGCTCATTTATTCCACAGCATTCACTGAGGTATGGATAATTTAATTGCTCTTCAGAAAACTTGCACAGTAGAGCATTGTTGAGAAAAAAAATACCGTTAGCATCAGACAGACCTGGGTTTGTTACCTGATTCGACCACTCAAAGCTTTATGTCCTTCTGCAAGTCATTTAGACTTAGCATCTTTGTTTCTTGATCGGTGCAATTTGCATACTAGCATTACCTACACGCAAAGGTTAAATGAGGTAATGCACAAAAGCATTCAGTGCAATGCCTGGTGCAGAGAGGTACCTGATAATTGCGTTAGACCCAATGTCTCTCGTTTGTACAAAAAGTGTGAAAAAATGCCCATCTCACTGCACCCTCATCAGCACTGACTCTTGAAAGCTCATTGCTAGGAGACATGGTTAAAACACTGAAAAGATAGACACTTTATTAAGGAGCTCATCCTCTACTTAAAATTCAGGGTAGTTAACTGGCAATTTCAGTACAGGGCAACAGGGCCACGACAATAGAAGTTAGGGTGCTCCTGAGCACATTAAGAATTACAGTCTCATCCAGGGATGTCAGCAAAGGTGTCA